CTTAGAGCTGAAAAGCTTTCAGGATCTTCTACATATGGGACCTCAGCCACTCCTTAGAATCCTCTTGTGCCGACCCCTCTATATCTTGGCTGTCCATGGCAAGGCTGCCTCTTGTTTTCCTTCCTACGTCAGAGTCAGAAATCCTAACCACCACCCTATGCCCTTTCTAGTATTTCTCCCTTAACCTCTCAAAAGGAAAGTTAAGCAGAGCCACAGAAGAAGAATTATTCTTTTCCCTGACTCCAGCCTCCCTAGAAAGGGTGAGGCGAGAGAAGGGGAATGCTTAAATTGTTCCTTTATGATGGCCTCTTGATTCCACCTCCAGCCACCTATCTTTAGTGTCTTTTCCTTTCACCACTCCATGTCTACAAGAATAAGGCCCAACCAGAAAGTAGCCCTCCAGTTTCCAAAGTGTCTAGGGCAATCTCAGCTTCCCGTTGAGCTTGACCTCCCCATCAAAGACAGACACCAGGCATAACATGGACTCAGGTAATGGTCTCCAGAGAAGACTGCTGCCCACTGCTATATAAACCTTCAAGGATGTGGAGGGCAGGGATAATGGTGTGGATAAATCACTCCAGTCTGGGTGACAGATAGAGACTCCAACTCAAAAAAAAAAAAAAAAAGAAAATTCACTCAAGGGAACCACATGAAGTTTGGAGGTGCTAACACCACTTTCAAGTTCTGCTACCAAGAAAGACTAGCAACATGTACAAGTTGAATACATTAAAGGAAAGTCTTTCTACACACTAGGGAATCTTTAGCAGCATTTGGTGAAGTGGTATCAAATTCTAAAGATTCATTGTCCTTTATAATAAATATGGTATTTTAAAAACTATGAGCCGGGTTCGGTGGCTCAGCCTGTAATCCCAGCGCTTTGGGAGGCTGAGGTAAGTGGATTGCTGAGCCTGCAGGTTCGAGACCCACCTGGGCAACTTGGCAAGACCTCATCTCTACAATAAATCAAAAAATTAGCCAGGCATGATAGTGCACGCCTGTAGTTCCAGCTACTGGAAGGCTGAGGCGAAAGGATCGCCAGAGCCCAGCACGTCGTGGCTGCAGTGGCCGGGAGTGGTCACTGCACTCCAGTCTCGGTGACAGAATGAGAATCCATCTCAATAAATTAATTAATTAATTAATTTAATTAAATAAAAATAAAAACTATGGCTGTGGCTGAAGGTGGTGGCTTATGCCTGTAATCCCCACACTCTGGAAGGCCAAGGTGGGAGGAATGCTTGAGCCCACGGGGGCTCAAAACCAGCCTGGGCAGCATAGCAGGACTCTGTCTCTACAAAAAATTTTTTAAAAACTGGGGGTGGTGTCATGTACCTGTAGTCCCAGCTACTCAGGAGGCTAAAAAGGGATGATTGCTTGGGTAACAGAGCAAGACCATGGCTCAAATAAAAAAATACAGTTTTTCAGTAAAAAAACAAAAACAAACTTCATAAAATAATACTTTCATGAAATCCAACAAAGATCATGACTATCCTCATCTGTGTGTGAGGAAGAGGGAAGCTAGAGCCGGGAAACTGTCCCTTCTCTAAGAAAGCATCCCAGAGGGAAGAGCCTCTGGTTCAAGCAGCAGCCAGGTTCTGAGGAAGGTACTGCTCTGATTACCATGATCACCAGCAACCCTCGCACACAAGAGTCTCCCTTCCTCATTCTGCTCAGAAACCCACTTCTGCAGATATGAATCATCTCTAAGCTCTAATAAAATGCCTACTCAGCCAATCAGAATATACCACCAGTGGAGACCAATAAAGCACACACAGAGGATTTTTAGTTGCGTCTATGTTTTCACTTCTTGATCAAGGTATATTTGGTCGAGGTGTACTGTGTCACTTTTGATGTACAGGTAGGTGATACAGTATTCAAAGAAGGATTTGATTTTGAGAACCACTCATAACCTGTAAGGCCCAACAGTGAAACTCCAATCTCAAAATCTCAAACTGGCACAACAAAACAGCCTTGCTTGGTACTAGGTCCAGTTAGAGAAAAATGTGGGTCCTTTGCCCACAGTATTATACTTGCAACCAAAAAATACTTACAAAATTATCATTTTCAAAAATATTTGCTTATAAAAAATTCTTTTGAATGCTAAATGCAAGCTGTTTTTGAAGGATGCGAACAGAAAGCTATTTCATTAGCTCTATCCATTGAGCATTACTTATCAAGAAGCAGGAGAGGGATATGGGCAAGAGAGCTACAACAATGCAAACTGAGGAAAGCATACTTCTCATCCTGTGGCGCCACCTTTCTTCACTTACAGCACCTCCATGCCCTTAAAGAGCAAACAAAGCACCAAGACTAGACAATACCATAGTAGGAGAAAAAACAGAAATAAACCCAAGATCTGGAAAAAAGACATTTTATCTATATCTGCAACAGGAGAAAGTCAAATCCTAGTCATTCATTTTCAACTTTGTATTACTCACTCGGCAATAACTATTTGCCAGAAGATTAGACAAAATAATCTACTCTGGAGAGTGTACTCTTGGAAAGAGAATGTGGTGTGAGCCCCATAGACAGTAAAAGATCTGCTGAAACTCAGAAGTTTGAGAAACTTCAGAACCCATACTGACACACCACAAAGGCAAACACTTAGCAAAAATACAATCACAAACTAAAATTCCTATGAAAAGGAAGAATGAAAACATGACATGATATGCTCTACCCACATTTTATATATGTTTAATTTCTCAAAAGCATCAAAACAGTCTCTTTACCTGTAAGTTTCACTCTATTACTTTAAAAATAGACTATGCCATAAAACTGAGAAAATGCAAACCAAAACTCAGCCAGGCACAGTGGCCCACACCTGTAATCCCAGCACTTTAGGAGGCAGAAGTGAGAGGATTGCCTGAGTCCAGGGGTTTGGACAACTTGGCAAGATCTCGTCTATACAATAAATCAAAAAAGTTAGCCAGCCATGTTGGTGTGCACCTGTAGCTACTAGGAAGGCTGAGGGGGAAGGATCACCTGAGCCCAGCAGGTCAAGGCTGGGTGCCTTAGGTGAGACACCAACACAAAACAAAAAAACAAAAAAACCAACTCTATGAAAGTTAGGCCATTTCTACAACCCATCTCAGTAGAGTGACTATTCAGTTTGTGGCTGACATGGGAGTACAAGGGATGCTTACCCTGAAACCAGAATAGGGCATTTGTACCAAGGTCAGAATAATGCAATCTCTGAACCAAAATCAGAGATTGCTTAGCTTTACATTAATCTACAAACGGACTTCATAGGACTATCAGGTACTGGCTAAAGTCTTATAATAAAATTTCTTCTGAGTTTCAGTGATCAAGAGTACATGCCAGGCTCGGTGGCTCAACCTGTAATTCCAGCGCTTTGGGAGGCTGAGGTGAGAGGAGTGCCTGAGCCCGCGGGTTCGAGACCTGCCTGGGCAACCTGACGAGACCTCATCTCTACAATAAATCAAAAATTAGCCGGGCGTGGTAGCACACGCCTGTAGTTCCAGCTACTTGGAAGGCTGAGGTGAAAGGATTGCCAGAGTCCAGCAGGTAGAGGCTGCAGTGGCCAGGAGCAACGGAGTCTCCATCTGGGCGACGGAGTGAGACTCCAACTCAAAAAAAAAAAAAGTACATGACAGGTCTTCTGAGGTAGGGTAGCTAGGCCAGGTTAGACAAAGACAGATAAATTTCCAGTAGGCAGGTTTTAGGAAGCATTCAGATATTTTTATTACATTTTTTTACTGCAGACCACGTTGGCAGTCTACCCCATTCCCTTGACAAATTATTTTTTGTTTGTAACAAACAAAACAAACAATGTTTTGTTTTTTTGGTTTTTTTTGAGTTGGAGTCTCACCCTGTCCCCAGACTGGAGTGCAGTGGCCACTCCCGGTCACTGCAACCTCAACCTGCTGGGCTCTGGCGATCCTTCCGCCTCAGCCTTCCAAGTAGCTGGAACTACAGACAGAAAGTTTAACTAACCAAAGTCATAGAAATGATAATAAAACCACCTTTTAGCACATGAACTTGTGAATTAAAAACCTCTGGCAGGTCTCAGGCCAGGCACGGTGGCTCACACCTATAATCCCAGCACTTTGGGAGGCCGAGGTGAGAGGATTGCCTGAGCCCACGGGTTAGAGACCAGCCCTGGACAAACTGGTGAGACCTCATCTCTGTAGTAAGTCAAAAAATTAGCTGAGTGTGGTGGCATGTGCCTGTAGTTCTGCTACTTGGAAGGCTGAGATGGAAGGACTGCCTGAGCCCAGGAGGTCAAGGCTGCGGTGACCATGAGCATGCCACTGCACTCCAGCCTGGGTGACAGAGTGACACTCCGACTCAAAAAATAAAAATAAAAATAAGAAATGTCTGGTAGGTCTTCTGCCAAAGATAGTGTGGTCTGAAAAAGACTACCCCTTTTCCCACTCCTCCCATCAGAAGGGGAGAGATGTGATCCTCTGGAGTGGTGGTTACCAGTGTCCCACCATCTTCAGCAAATGAGCTGTTGTGAAAATATATCTATAGTTTCTTAGTTAAGAGTAAAAGTGCAGTTCTTCTTTTTCGAGAGAGAGACTTGACCATACCAGGTCTTTCTGGTAGGCAACTTGTGTCTGCCTGTTCTTTTTCTTTCCTCTCTTCTTCTCGCGAATAAACTTTGTTTTAAAACTTTGCTGGCCACTCAAATTTATTTTAGGGTTGAGCCAAAGAATCCACGAGTTTTAAGCCGGGTGTGGTGGCTCATGCCTGTAGTCCCAGCTACTTGGGAGGCTGAGGCAGAAGGATTGCCTGAGCCCAGCAGATGGAGGCTGCGGTGGCTGTAAGTGTGCCACCACACTCCAGCCTGGGCAACAGAGTGAGACTCCAACTCAAAAAAAGCATCCATGAATTTTGCCCCACACTCTAACTGGCATCATTCTGAATATGGAAACAGGTAGCAAAGGCTGATTAGATTTTAAAAATCCCTACAGCAAAAAACAGAAAATAACCTCTATGAATCACTGTTCAGAAAAAAAGAAATCTCAACAACTACTGACCTGGTCCTCCTCTTCATCCTCATCCTCTGCTAGACGCTGCCTGCCCACTTCATATAGCCTGCATACTGTGTCCATGTTCAGGGCATCCATGCTGCCTTGATTCTGAAATAGAATACCCAGCCCACAAGAGGCAGTTAGCTTTCAAAAAACCCACATCCACACCTCAGCTCTGACTGATGCCCATGACCTTGACCCTTGTAACTATCAAAACTTCTGATACCCAAAATTCTTGAGCTGACTCTGAAAATGAGAATGAGGAGGATTGGATAGTGAAGAATATAAGCACAGGAAAGACCACCCTTCTTGGAACAAACCAGTCTTGCTCTGCTGAAAGATCCACACTCTGCTAAGAAAGGGATGACAGCATGAGTCCAGAATAAACAGAGATAAGACTCTCTAAGCTGTCTTACATTGGAATTTTTCTTACTATTTATCTTGAATCTCCCAAATCCCATCAAATGAGTAGGTTTATCAATAATCTACCACCAGGAATACATTGACTTATATCAGACAAAATGTTTAAGTATAACTTAAAAATTATCCTAAACATCAATCAGAACAAAAGACCAAAGCCTCCATAAGCTCTCTTACCTCAATGACAGCAAGATAGCAGTCTTTGGTGTCTGTACACAGGTCAAAGATGTTCCGTTTCACATCAATGGTCGCTGGAAAATAGAATATGACAAAATTCAGGATTACATCTTCGCTGTGACCTTAAAACTTGCTCTTCCTCTAAAGGTACTCAAGATCATTATTCATAAATATTTTCATAACTCTTCTGCTTTTCAATAAAAAAAATACAGTCCTCCCAGAAAATGAAGGATCTTAAATAAGGAACACCAATACATGACTAAAATGATCAACGTCTGTCCCTTCATGCTTACCTATAGGCTTGTAGTCAGTTGCATTAAATGTTCGGAAAGATGACCCAAAAGGGCTTTTCATCCTCTCTTCCATTAAGTCATCTTCATCATCTGCCTGCAACATAGCTGGTTGGGGGTAGGAGGGTGGTAGTGAAACACTATTAAGAATTAAAAACATCCCCTATTCACAAGTGTAGAAAATGTTAATGGCCAATCAAAACTTCAGCTAGCTTCCTTGTATGTAAATCTGTTTCTAGTTAGCTCCTCTCGAAGTATCCTCCTTCTATAACCCACCTATTGTGACAAACAATATCTTCAACCTCATCTAATCCCATAACAAATGCAAAGGGTTATTTTAAGTTCATAATGACATTCTACAAATTTCTGCAAGAAATTTATTTCAAGATTTCCTGGTTATCTTCAAAGTCAGTTGCCTTTACCATGAACCAGCATTATTTTCACCTTCTCCTTTGTCAACATTTGTACCAGCACTTTATCTTTTATGCTACAACTTTCAAACACTTTCCAATTCACAAGTGAGAGCTATTTCCAAAAAGGAAGTATCAAATTAAGTGAGGAGACAGAGCAGAGGGCAAGGAAATAATGAAGAAAAGGATGAGGTTTATTACCTCCATACATCACTGTTCCTGTGTGATTAAACACAACACGACACTGATCCAGAGCAGGAACAGTGTGCAAAAGATGGAAAGTTCGAAGGTCCCACTAGGAAGACAGTAGTCAAGGAAAACCATTTAACACAAAACTTATCTAACCTCACAGGGGGAATTCTAATATATCACTTTTTTTCCCTCCTGCTAGGGTGACACTTTTATCTATCTATCTATCTATCTATCTATCTATCTATCTATCTATCTATCTATCTATCTAATCTATCTATCTACCTACCTATCTATTTGAGTCAGAGTCTCACTCTGATTCTATCTATCTATCTATCTATCTATCTATCTATCTATCTATCTAATCTATCTACCTACCTATCTATTTGAGTCAGTCTCACTCTGATTCTATCTATCTATCTATCTATCTATCTATCTATCTGAGTCAGAGATCTATCTATCTATCTATCTATCTATCTATCTATCTATCTATCTATCTGAGTCAGAGTCTCACTCTGATGCCCAGGATGGAGTGCAGTGGCATGCGCATAGCCACCGCAGCCTCGACCTGCTGGGCTCAGATGATCCTTCTGCCTCAGTCTTCCAAGTAGGTGGAACCACAGGCGTGCGTCACCATGCTCAGCTAATTTTTTCAATTTACTGTAGAGACAAGGTCTCGCCAAGTTGCCCAGGTTGGTCTCAAGCTCCTGGGTTCAGGCAATCCTCTCGCCTCCACCTCCCAAAATGCTGAGATTACTGGCGTGAGCCACCGCGCTTGGCGGTATGGATACTTTAAAAGTCAAGGAGATCAAGATAAAACAAATATATCCAGAATACACATTATTAAATGATGCCCCTGAAAATATTCTACAGTATCCTCATATACTTGAAAGCTCCATGAGCTCTCTTCCTCCCAAAAGTAGCACTTCATTTTCCTCGTTCTAGCAACTGATTTATGTAGAGCAAAAGTAAAATTCGCCTAAAGATAGATTTTAAAAAGCTAATTCAATACTTGGAGAATCAGGAGGCAGGAATCTGGTCACTCTTACCAATACATAGAAACATCCTAGGGAAAATCATCAATAATTACCAATACTGACAACAGTGCCCCGGAGATTTCACTAACACTTCAACCAAAGGACAGGAACCATATTATTAACAGGGTAGATATTTTAACCAAGTATTGGTGAAAATATAAAACAAATTATTTTTGTACCAGAAACCAGACAATAAATAGAAAGCAAAACATGAACAAAAGGATACAATCTCAGTATTAATGATGACCTCCAGTCCATTTGGATGGAAAACACCACTGATGTTCATGTTGAATTTGTCAAACTTGTGGATGGCCTGTGCAGAGCGGACATCCCAGAGGACGCCATCATTTAAGACAAGATCATCTGTAGGATTAAAGGTGGCACAGTTCCTCTTGTAGTTGTTGGCAAGATCTGGGTTAAATAGAGTCAACAGCTTGTTGCCAGTCTGAATATCATAAATCTTTAGGGAAGAAGGGGTGGGAAGAGAAAAATCAGACCAATTCATCCATTGACAAATTTAAAGAGAAACTGTGCAAAATATTTTCCCCATGCTTTCCAAATCTCCCCAAAATTATGAAAGCCCTAATACTATAAAATAACTGAAAGGTAGGAAGACCATATCCAACTCAGCAAAGTTTAAGTGCTCTGGTTCCCATTCAAAGTTTGAAAAATTCCTTTCCCACAAGTAAGAAAATTAGAAGTGAAACTGCATTAGGTATAAGAGAACCCTTTGCTTCTTCTCCTCTTTTCAGGCAACAGAAAATGTTCCTAAGATTAAAACTGAGAAATCAGCTGGATACAGTGGCTCACACCTGTAATCCCAGCACTTTGGAAGGCAGAGGTGAGAGGATTGCCTGAGTCCAGAAATTTGAGACCAGCCTGGGCAACTTGGTGAGACCGCATCTCTACAATAAGTCAAAAATTAGCCAGGTGTGGTGGCATACGCTGTGGTTCCAACTTATAAGGCTGTGGCAAAGGGATCACCTGAGCCCAGCAGGTTGAGGCTGCAGCGGCTGTGAGTATTCCACTGCACTCCAACCTGGGTGACAGAGTGAGACTCCTTCTCAAAAAAAAAAAAAAAAAATCTGAGAAATCCTCCATATAAACCAATCAATGACTACCCACAGAAAACTCCTTAAGGGTTACCTTTTGGAGAAAAGCTTCAACGAAATATCCTTTTTGCCTTAAAATCTCCCAATGTACATATTTTAGCCCCATCATATAAAAGCTTCCAAAGTCTACAATGTGCAATTCATGCAGAGACCAGATCTTTCCCATCAGTTTACAAACATACTGTAATATTTCCAACATTTTATTTTATTTTTTTGAGTCGGAGTCTCACTCTGTCACCCAGACTGGAGTACAGTGGCACACACACTCACAGCAACCACAGCCTTGACCTGCTGGGCTCAGACCATCCTTCCACCTCAGCCTTCCAAGAAGTTGGAACTACAGGCATGCGCCAACACACCCAGCTAATTTTTTAATTTATTGTAGAGATGAGGTCTCATCAAGTTGCATAGGCTGGTCTCGAACCTGTAGGCTCAGGCAATTCTCTCACCTCGGCCTCCCACTCCCAAAGAGCTGGGATTATAGGCATGAGCTACCGCCCCTGGCCCTATTTGTAATATTTTTTAAAATCCTCCTTTGACATAGTAACAAATAAGGAGATACCACAGAGAAACAATCAAACAAATCCAGATCATGGGACAAGACAACTACCCTGGTCTCTTCAAAAGTCAATGTCATGAAAACGGGAGAAATGGTTCTTGGCGGTGGCTCAGCCTGTAATCCCACGCCTTTGGGAGGCTGAGGTGAGTGGATTGCCTGAGCCCGCGGGTTCGAGACCCGCCTGGGCAGGAGAGACCTCATCTCTACAATAAATCAAAAAATTAGCCGGGCGTGGTAGCGCATGCCTATAAATCTGGCTACTCGGAAGGCTGAGGTGGGAGGATCACCGGAGCCCAGCA